TTTTTTTTAAAACAGTCTCTGTTGAAGATCTGCTGATGTATGGGATTAAACTTGAGTTAATTAAGATCTTTGTTTTTCTAAGCTTACATTTTTTTTTTTTTACTTGAAATTACGGGCAACCGTCTTCTAACAATTCAGCAAAAGATATATTATTTATATATGTTATTTTTAATCAATCTTTCTCATGATCATTAAACAACATTAAAAACCAAAGCATGGAAAGTAAAATCCAATTCTTAAAGACCCCAGTAATACTCTTTTCGATCTAAGGGGTTGTAAAGCTAAACAGTGCTTAGAAGAGAGAGAAAGAGAGAAATGGAAATAATATTACCGATTACCAATATATTTAACTTATATTAGCATAAAGAAAAGAAAAAGAAGAAAAAAAAGATTCCAATTTCCCACGCAAATAATATAGAAATAATCAGATCGATCAGACGATCACCATATTTTCTGATCACCAATTATCTTATAACAATTAATTTATCCTTTTTCTCAAGTTTATGCTGCTCTGTTGATCTTGATCACGTGCATAAACCTGTCAATATTATTTTCCACTTTTCTCAAACCAAATTACAAAAAAAAAAAAAAAACCCACTTAAATTAAAGAAATACACTTTAAAAAACATATATATTGCAATTGATTAATAATAGAAATAATAATACATACATACTCATAATGCTCATCATGATCATGATCATAATCAACAGGTCCTGAGAGGGTTCCCACAGAGGCAGTCATTGTTTGCAAACGACGACGCTTCCAAGTGATCGAACGGTGATCCGACTGGGATGGCCCCACAAAGATGGTTGTGGCTCATGTCCAAGTGTCCTATATACTTCGCCGACGACAATGAACCCGGAATTGGACCCTTCAAGTTGTTAAACGACAAATCCAATGCCATGAAGTAGGAATGTGGCCCAAAAACATTCGGTATGTTTCCCTCCAATGCGTTTCTGCTTAAGTTGAGAATTCCCATACCCGAGCTCAATAGGGTCGGAGGTATTTTACCCGTTATGAGGTTGCTGTCCAAGTTTAGGGTTGAGAGAACCCGCATTTTTCCGATTTGATCCGGGATCCAATCCGATATCTGGTTCATGGATAGGTCGAGGTCGGCTAACCGGTCCATGCTTGTGATAGACTTTGGGATGGGCCCGGTCAACCGGTTCCGGTTCAGTAAGGCCCGGCTCAGCATCTTGAGCTGACCGAATTGAACCGGGATTTCTCCGGTCAGTTGGTTGTTGCTGAGGTCAATGTGCTTGAGTCCCTTGATACTGACAATGCTCTCTGGGATTTTCCCGGTTAGGGCATTGTCTGCGAGGTTGAGAACTGTGAGGCGAGTCAGAGACCCGATGTCCGTCGGGATCTTGCCCGTGAGCCGGTTCCCGATTAGGTCGAGGACGTGGAGAGAGGAGAGAGAGGTTAGGCAACTCGGAATCTCGCCAGAGATTCCCTTCCAGTCAGCGAGGATGAAATTGGTAAGGCGGTCGAGCTTGCAAATCTCCGGGGAGATCGTACCGGTCATGTAACCGGTTCTGCCCGATTTGGTTAGTATCGGGTCCTCAGACTCTCCCCGGAGGCTGATGTCAGCAACCCGGCCGGTCTCCGGGTCGCAGCTAACACTGTGCCAATTCGCACAACAGTCGGTGCCCGTCCACGAGTCGAAGATGCCCAAGTAGGGTTCGTTTAGGCCGGCTTTGAAGGCCAACAAGGCTGCCCGGTCCGACGGCGAGCAGCAACTAACGGCTGAGATAACGGCAATGAAAGTTAGTAGCATTGTTTCCAAGTATACCACTCTTCTTTCCATCTTGAACAACATCTGTTTCTGGTGTTTGTGTCTCCAATATAGTGAAACTTTTTATGAATATGAATGTCTGTAGAGAGAGAGAGAGAGAGAGAGAGAGAGAATATGGAGGGTTTTGAAGATGGGAGAGATGAATGTTTGTTTATAGAGAAAGTGAGGAGTGATGAGAGAGATTTGTTTAGTTTGGAGTAAATGAAATTACCTGATCAGATTTGGTTTAAGACGGAGAATCTGTGAGAATAAAGTGCTAATTAATGATATAGTTTCTATTTAAATTTCATTTGTCGTAATGGGTGTAATAATATCTTTGATTTAACGTACATTTGTCGTTTTCACATGCACATGCAACTTTCTGTAGTGCGCACATTTATAATAAAGCCTGATAAATCGAATAAATAAAATGCCTAACTACCAATAGTAGTGCTGTAATAAAATCCATGTTATTTTATAAATACTGAAATTTGTGTTTAGTTTGATGATAAGATAAAAACGCTTGCAGAGATTGTATATAAAATGAAAACGATATATAATTAAGAAAATTACATCTTAAATTACATATACTATTACAGAAGTCATTAACACTTCATTTTATCTTAATTACATATAGTACTATCAAAGAATTCATTGACACAGAAAATAGTGAACTCATAATCCCATCGTAATAAACCCCAAATAAGTACCATTGATGAATTCAAAAATAAGAAACATATGTAAAGTTGAAGAAATAAAAGTTTAGCGTACGTTTTTGGGAATCTTTGTCTTGTTAATTGACAACCGACACTCTTTTATTTTATTTTTTTCAAAAAAAAAAAAGTCTTGAGTTTAGTGCCTTGCTAAATCCTTCTTTTTAATTTTCAAATTCCAAGTAGAGTGGTTTTCATAATTACTATTATCATCACTAATAGACTGTATCTTAATGATTGTTACAGCACTAATTAGGTAGTCTTGATGACTGTTTGATTTTAATTGATTTCCAAGTCCAAATCGAATAATAGAGAATCAAGTCGATCGTTGAAAGTGGAATTCCCTGCTATGATAAAGTGTCTTGAAAGATGCCATGATTGTTAATTTTGGGTAGTGTCGAAAAGGCTTTAGATTTTGCCCTTTTTTATTAAAAAAAAATATATGTTATTGGTACGAGTAGATTAAAATTTTTTAATTATTAAATTTATATATTTTTTATTTTTACGTAATTTTATATAAATTTAATAATTAAAAAATTTGACATATCGATATATTAACATATTAAAGAAAATAAAAAAATTAAAAAGGACTTAGATTATGCTAATTAAAAGGCATACATATATTCCTCTCGATCCAATACAAAAGGATAAAGAAAAAAGGCCAAGATTTTTGCTGCTCCTTTTATTGATAATTATCTAGGGAACAAAATCTAATAGCTTTTTCACTGTCCCTACCGGATATATAAAAACAAAAGAATGAATAAATTACATTTTAAAACTTTCATTTAGTTTTTGTAATTCTTAATTTTTTGAGGGGAAGCTTTTGTGATTCCTCCTCTATGTCCTCTAAGTCCTCTTATATATAGGTGAACTTTGTCTCGTTGGAAAAGATATAATCAAACAACTTGTGACCAAAAATAAAAATATTATAAATAGATTATATACAAATGTATCCTGCAAATTTCTATTCCCTAATTATTATTTTGAGACCAATAGAGCACATTCTATTTCGTCAAATTTATTGACACAATATAGAATCAAAAAGCATCAAAAAGCTTTCCTCATTAATAAATTATCCAATTTGCTCGTTTAGAAGTACAATACATTCCAAATTTACTATTTTTTTTTTCTTATTATCCGAAAGTGACTAAGTTAATTATTCCCTTAAAAATGTGTGGTTAAGTTAACTCATGTCTTATGGACTGTATATCTTGTGTATATTATTATTGTAAGCATATATCTAATACTATCTGATATATAGATTAGTTTTCTTTTTTCTTTTTAATCTAATTTCTTGCACTTTTTATCAGAAAAGGAAATTCTCAATGCCCCAAAAATTGAAGAAAATAGTAGTGTATTTATCATATATATTTGTTTTGGTACACTTTTTAAACAACTTTTTCCAGCTCATAGAGAGGTCCCCAATGCGTGTTTCAACACTTTAAATGTCTCCCGGCTATCTCTACGTTATTAATTATTATCACGTTATTGGATATGATATAACATGTCTTTGTTCTCTTAGAGGTCCATCCTTCTCATAGTACAAGTTGGCTGCTGGGTCCAATCCATTGAAAGATTTTCATATATATATATATATATATATTTATTTATTTATTTATAAATATAGTTTCTATTTTATTTCATTTCTTTGTTTTCCTTTTCCTTGAAATGTTTTCTGATCAGAGATCTTTTTAGGAAAACAACATTTTATCTTTAGCTAGTTTGGTCCTAAAAGATAAAATGTTCCTTATAATAATAATTTTCAAACGTCTTCTTAAAAACTTCCAAATAAAATTCATCAAGAGTCAATTTCACTTGTGCCTTTCGGATTATACATTTTGTAACACTCATAATTAACCCGTAATTATTTTTATTGCAATATCCAGTCCCTGAACTTTTGTGCATGGGAAAAAATATCTCCTTTTTCAACTTTTATCTAAATTTTGGATGGATATCGGTCACATTAGGGTTATATGTGAGGTTTAATGCATATATAATTGTAAGACAAATAATTCAAAGGACAAAATTTAGGGACTAATAAAGTCTAAGGTGTTATTAGAGGTATAGTTTGAGATATATATATATATATAT